ATTATACCAAATTTCATTTGAATATTTTAAATTGTTAAAAAAATAGATCAGTAGCATATTTATAGTACCAACATAGACAAATTTGCTTGCGTTGGCCTACAATCTAAAGGATAGAAAAAGAAGATTATAAAGAAAGAGATAAAAGACACAAGTATATTACAAAGCTTACAGAGATCACAGAAGAGCTCTCTGAAACTCTATTGCTAAGACATCTTAAAGACAGGAAGGTAAAGGCAGTCTATATTCCAAAAAGGATAAGTAAATATATAAAACAAATTGCAAAAATAATCTTCGCGAATAAACAGAAGATAGAAAAAATACAAAAAAAGTCTGTAAAATATAATAATTTAATCCTCTAATAGGTAGGAGCTAAGCAGAAAGAAGACTTCACAACAGAGAATATGTTGAGAGAGAAAAAGAAGCATGATATAAGCAAGAGGTAGAGAAAAGAATCTAGTGACAAAGAGATAAAATCCTACTAAAAAAGAAGATTTAGATATAATACAGTAATTTCAGAAGAGGTAGAAGAATCTAACACTAATATTATATTAGGTAGTGACAAAAAAGATGTTAAAAGGTTCAAAATAAGAGCGAAAAATGCATTAGTTCAAAGAAAAAGAAAGGTGCAAAAGGTAGAAAAGCAGTTGAAAGAGATAGATCGCAAATTAACGATAGCTAGAGCAATTGTTGATATAGGAGTGAGATTATACTTCTTCTGAATCACCCTTATTCATACAGTATCCACTATTACATTAGTATTACTGTATATAAAAATTCATTAGAATCATATTCTCTTGTAAATCTTGATTGTACTGAATTGGTTTTGCCACTTGCTATTTGTCAACTCAAAGGAATATTTGAATATTATTATCAAAATATTGATATCTGAATATTTGATATTTATTTGAACTCGATTTAAAAATTTGATCTAATTAAAAAAAATTTTTTTATGTTTATTTCTTCTTTTCTCAATTGTTAACAAAAAACGGTTATTAATATGGATAATAATTTTTTTAACAATTATTTCGATAATATAAGTAATATAAATGAATCATTTGATAGTATAAATGAGTTATTTGAAATTTCTAACATTATAAATGATTCTTTTAATACTGTAGCTAGTATTCCTAATGATTTGAATATCATATCTCAAGTACCTACTCTTGATATTATAGATGAATATTCTAATACTTCAAAGTCTATTTGGGAATATTTTACTAAAATAAAAAAAAACAACAAAATGATTGCGAAATGCAAGCATTTTAAAAATTCTAAGTATAGTATTACTAATGGTACAACTATTAATTTATGGGGTCATCTTAAAAATGCATAGTTTTTTTCTCGATATTTCACTATCTCAATCTACATTAGATCAATTTAGTACCAAATATATTGAAAACAAAAATATATCTAATAAAGTAAATATATTTTATTTTCTTTATTTATATTATACTTTAGATTAATATTTGTATTAAATATTGTTTATTTTGAGTTAAAATATATTTAGAATAGTTCTACCACAAAGTTCTAATATTTAAAATCTTTAATACTGATATTATATGATGTGACAATTAAAAATTTTAAAGTAAACAATGATTGTTAATATAATTACTATTAATTGTAGCATCAGGATTATAGATTTTAAGATTTTAATATTAAGATTTTGCAATATGTAGAACTATTTAAAATTTATTTAAAATTAGATTATATATATAGTTTAAACTAATTTGTTAATTTTAATATAATGAATAAAACTTATACTATTAAATAGATAAATATAATAAATTTGATTTTATTTTTTAATTTATTATAGTTTACTGAAGAAAGTTTAAGACAATGGATAGTGAAATGAATAATTTTTGAAGATCTTTCTTTTCTGCTATATTCATAGTCGAAGTCTGCTTCTACTTAACTGTTTCTATTAACAAATATCTCCTATACTAATTTTATATATTTGTCTTTATTCAATATTCTTTTTATGTTTGTAGTTCTTTTTTTAGTGAAGTCTCTAGATACTTTGAATACAGATACTTTGGTGTAAAAAAATTTATTGTCTTTACATATTCTGTTGTTTGGTAACCAAATACTTTGTTCTATCAAACTATTTGCTTCAAAAAGTTCTGACTTCTGCTTGATAGACTCTGTCTTCATGATTCTGTTTTGCTTATAATTTGTATTTTGTTTAATCATATTGATTAAAATACTGTCTATTGGTGTCTCTTTGTCTTTTTGATTTTTTTACCTCTTGATATATCTGTGCTATCTTTTTTAGCTAAAAATTTCTTGAGAATTCATCTTTTGGAATGCATATATCATTTGTTTGGCTTTGCTATTTAGGTTCGATTTTTAGGTCTTGCATTTGTTCTACTACTCTATTTATATCTTTATTTGCTATTTCTTCTTTGCCTTGTCTTCGCTTTTTAGAACCAGATACTTGGTTTGTACCAGAGTGATTTCTTTTTCTATTCTATCTATCTTGTTTTTTCTTTTTTGAATTTTCTCTTCACTCATATTTGTTATATACTCAATTGATACTGTGTTGTTTCTTGCAATCTTGGCTTTTTCAGCCCACCTTTTGACTGTGTCTTTTTGAAAGCAGAGAACTGCTTCTTTCAAGACATCTCTTACTTGTCTATATAATAAAACTTTATATATTATCACACAATTTGGATTTCTTATTACTAAATCTTTAGCTAAATTATTTATATTATCAGGTTCTATTAGCTTGTATGTTAATAGAACTTCTATTAATTTGTTGTTATTTATATATTTAAGAACTTTTTTACTTGCTCTATGTAGGGTTCTGCATTTGATTTGATTTGATTTGATTCAAATATTTGATTTCAAATCAAATTCAAATATAGATTTTCAA